TCTACGGGCGCGACGGATTAGATTAGATAATCGCGGTGGACGTTCCATGAAATACCTAGTGTCTTTAAAACATGATTTTCCCCCGAGCAGAGTTCGACGTCGATGTTCTTTATGTCTAAATTTTCGAGTACCGGTCGGAAGTTAGACGCCCACTGTCGTATATTAAAACCGCCTTGTTTCAATATTTTAATAGTTTGATGGCGTATCTTTCCGAGGGTTTCGACATTATCAGTTCCCGTAATGAGGTCGTCTACGTATAGATCGCGGTTAAGTATTTCGGCTCCGAGTGGATAATTAGCACMTTCATCCTTCGCGAGTTGTTTGATGGTTCGTATGGCAAGAAACGGTGCTGACGCTATTCYGAATGTCACCGTATTAAGTTCGAAYGTGCGAATCKGTTCGTTATGCCRCCWAAATATCCGTTGATATTRGCGATCGTCTGGATGAATCCATATTTGCCGATACATTTTCTCRATATCCGCTGTTAATACGTACCGATATGTCCGGAATCGTAACAAGTGTTCTACTAACGTGTCTYGTATTRTAKGTCCGAYTAATAAGGTGYYRTTGAGAGGAAGTCTCTTATCATTTTCGCGGRGGCGTKGAATAYGACCCGTRCCTTTGTTGTCGTGTTGGCTGATTTAATGACCGCATRGTGGGRAARATAGCAAATTCCTATAGGTTCGWKTKTGRCGATCGACATATGTCCTWAATCGWTGTATTTATKTGTAATCTGTTCATATTCCTTCCGRAGTTCRRTAWTCGCGTRYAATTTCTTCCGGARATTATGGRACTGACTATACCGCGTAGGTGACTGTAATCGTGTCTTTCTTCGCCGAAGGGAACACGCACGATATATCTTCACGATTCATAGTGTTTCGCAACTTAGACATAATGACTTTGCCTTYTATTTTGTTTACTGAATTCGATCGCGTTATCTTAGGAACGATGAGTAGCGAAAAGTTCCGCCTATATTTATCGTCTAATGATCGAATGGTTATCTCGATAACGTCTGTCGATCGAGTTCTGGTATAGTTGATAGCGTGAATAGGGATCGAATATGGCTTGATCGGCAAACGTAGGTCTCTCGCGACCTTCTCGGTGATGAAGTGTGCGGCGGCACACGTATCTAATAGCGCCCGACATAGTCTGAAAGTTCCGTCTTCCCTTCTTACGCGGCACATCGCGCTCATAAGGAGTTGATTCGATACACCGCGCGCGTTGCTATTAAAGATCGGAGTGAGTCACGTGGAGATGGGTTCAGTTTGGGATGTTGACGCGGTCTCCTGCTTCGCGGAGGTCGTGGTCTCCTGTATCGCGGCCTTCTGTTAGCTAGTATTCCTATGTAGCGATGTATGGTGGGGTCATTTACAGATTT